ATGAAGAAAAACATTCTTAATGTCCAACTGATAGAGAGGCCATATGGCGAACAACAACCATGGATAGAAAAAGATGGACTGGTGCTATTTTAGCCATAGGAGAGAAAGTATCACTATAATGGAGCTCAAATATCTGAGTATACCATTTGCAATAAGACGAGCCTTAAGTCGATCAACCTGCAATGTGGACCAACTTTAATAGCATACACCCAACGAAAACCAATAGTAGATTTACCTGAAGGAAGAGGAACAAGCTCTCAAGGACCACTCGTATGTAAAGCATATATGTCGTCAATCATAGCTTGTCGCCATCCTGGATGAGACAGTGCTTCACTTATAGACTTAGAGATGGAAATAGAGGACAAAGATGATACAAATGCATAATGGGATGATGACAGATGATGATAACTTAAGCCAACATAATGGGTATTACAATTAAGTATGGACTGTATAACTTTTCGAAGTGTAATTGATTGACTAGGAGGAGGCAAGTCCGCAGTAAGAGCAGGGTTAGGTACAAGGCGTGAATCAACTGTGCCTGATGTTAGGCGTGGACGACAATGATAAGTCATGAGTGGTAGAGCTGTAGGTGGTGGAGCTGGAATGGGAGTTGTAGGTGGTGGAGCTAGAATTGGAGCTGTAGGTAGAGGAGATAGAACTGGATCTGTAGGTGGTGGAGATAGAACCGGAGCTGTGGAGGAACGTGAATGTGAAATAGTGAATGAATCTCCAAAAGATAGAAGATATTTAAGTAATCACCTGGACATGTGAAGTATGATTGGGTTCCAAAGAAGGTAACATCAGCAGACATAAGGTACCTCTGGAGGTTAGGTTAATAGCATCAATATCCCTTTTTCATTCTTGAGTAACCCAGAAATATGCATTTAAGAGAACGAGGAGCTAACTTATCTTTTCCCGGAGTAAGGTTAGGAACCAAATACGTGCTCCTAAAGATACAGGGTGGAAGAGAGAACAAATGTGAGTGGGTAAACAAGACAGAGAATGAAACTTGATTCTGGATAGCTAAGGGTGTCATACAATTAATAAAATAACAAGATGTGAGAACTGCATCCCCCCAAAAATACAACGAATGATGAGATTGTATAGTAGGGTACGAGCAGTTCCATTTGCTGAGATATGTATGGAAAAAATGTTTGATGAATGATTCCATGAGAGTTCATAAACTACTGAAATGGGGAAGACAAGTACTCTAGGGCATTATCACTACGAAATGTGTGGATAGAAACCCCAAATTGATTTTGAATTTCAGTGTAGAAGGTCTAGAAAATAGAAAATAGCTCGGATTGATTTTTCATCAAAATTATCCAAGTGAACCTAAAATAATCATCATTAAAACTAACGAAGTAACGGAATCCCAAGGTAGAACTGACCCGACTAGGGCCCCAAACATTTGAATGGACTTAAGTGAAAGGTGACTCTACTCGATTATCAGAACACCTGGGAAAATAGGATAGTATGCTTACCGAGCTGACATGACTCACACTCTAGAGTGAACAAGTGAGATAATCCAGGTACTATTTTCTGAAGTTTTGACAAACTAGATGTCCCAACAATTTATGTAATAAATCTGGTGAATTAGTAACATGACAAGTTGTTGAACAAAGACACAATGTGAGTCCAAGTAATTTGCAAGTATAAGATAATAAAGTCCATTTGATTCACGTCTGGTACTAATGATCCGCCCCGTACTGCGTTCTTGTATAAAAACAAGGTCATCAAGAAATAAAATAGAGCATTTAAGTGATTTGGCTAAGCGACTAATGGATATGAGATTAGAAGGGCTTCCGGGAACATAAAGAACTGAATCTAAAGGTAAGGAAGGAAGTGGACTTGCTTGACCAATTCCAGTTGCCACGGTTTGAGACCCGTTGGTCATTATGTCTGTTGGAAGAGATTGAGAATATGAAATAGTAGTGAAAAAAGATTTGTTACCAGACCCAAGAATCAGAGGATGAAGATTGGGAGACACAAATCACGCTATTACCTTTTTGAAAAACGGAAGTTATTTCTGAAGATATTTGTTCATGCTTTGTACTGAAGGAACTCAATATAATTCGATAGAGAAACCATCCAACTATTCATAGTATTGGATCCCATTTCGCTACAATCAATTTCTCAAATTCTTGACTAAAACTAAATAATATACGAAAAACACTGTTCACAATAGGGGGAAGTATTGTTCACATCGGAATCACTATTCACGTTGGAAAAAGTGCACTGTTCGTGCCGAATAAAATAAAAGTTGTTGGAATTAGATGTAACTTATATGAGTAGGCTCAGAATTGCAGGGGCAACACACTGTCCAAAAGAAGTTTTGTCAAAATCTGGCGGGAAATATCCTTACGCGCCCGTGCGTGGACGTCGGAATTTCGCCAAAAAAATTCTTCCAGATGCGCATGAGGGCGCGTGGATGATCTTTTGCCAGAGATTTTTGTAAGGGTCGGTCGCCGGAGGCTTATCTACTTCGTTGTGGTGTTGGTTTTTACGCAACACTGACGGATACTATTCTTCTTCTAGACAGACCTATTTTTGTCGGAAAAAGCGCTTCCGATTGATTGATTTCTCTTTCTGGAGTCATTGGATTTATACACAATGATAAATTTCTCACGGTTGCTCTGATACCATGTGAGAAAACACAGGAGAAAATATATTATTAATATTCTCTTCAAGTATAATACAATGAGCCTTATTTATACAATACATATCCTATTCATATTCTATGTGGGACTAGGACTAATTCATATTATTTACATAACTATATTATAATATCTTTTTAATAATAATAATTCTACAGTATATGTGTAATACTAAATAAAGCAAAATCTGGGGCCTTCAATTTGGGGTTTGGAGGGGGGAGGGGAGGGGGAAGAAGGGGATAAAACAATTGCATTAGTGGCCTCCCCTAGAGTCGACACTGATCACAATTAAAGCTAGATACTGCAAATATATTAGAAAAGTTTCAGCACATAAACCAATAGCTAGGAGTAACTATTAAAAATTAAAAGGCTGAAAATTTGCTCCTTGGACTTGAATTGATATGGGAGAGTTTAGCTAATTACTAGCTTATTCATGAATCAGTAGAGGGTAGATATTAATATGCTTCCAATAAGATCCTCAGAAGAAAAACTTCTAATAGCCCTAAAGTAGTAAGGGCAGAATCCATAATTCAAGAAGAGTATTTCTGATCTATTAAAATTTCTCACCATAATAACAAGGAAATTAGGAAGACATGGAATGCTGTAGTAATGTTTTTTTGTATGTATATACAACCAGTTCAAGATGAGTCCATAAGATTATGTCTTTAATTAGATGAATCCTTGACCAAAATCCCATTCACTATGAATCATGTTAGTAACTTTATGACTTCTGGATGTACCTTTTCATGATCTCTCTTAATGTCTGTTTAGCTAAGCTCCTCTAAAGTTAAAAACACTTTTGTTTTCACAGTTAAAGTGTTTGGCCAAGTTTTAGCAGAAAAATAAAGTGCTTTTGAGTAGAAGTAAAAGCAGTTTTGGACAAGCAGAAAAAAGTATTTTCTCCCCAGAAATAATTGTTTGAAAAGCACTTTTGAGAAAAATACACTTAGAAGCACATTTTAAAAGCTTGGTCAAACACTAATTGCTACTCGAAAGTATTTTCCAAATTAATTAGCGAAACACAAACTGTTTCTCGCGAAAATTACTTTTGAGAAAAAACACTTCTCACTTATTGCCCAAACTAGGATACTTTATTAGAGTCATGTCATAAACTCTATTTGATGTTAGCATGTGTAAGCTACTTAGCTAGTGGCTCAGACCAAGTGCAAACAACTTTTTTTCTTCTTCTTCTTCTTTTTGTCAGACTGATGTTGTGTTCCGGCCAATTTGTATGTAGTGATAAAACTAGGAATTTCCATCGGGGGGGTAAAAATCAATAGACTAAACTGGAACGATTACTATGCGATCCGTTTCACTTATTTGAAATAACTAAACTTTATCTTTCAAGTAATGAATTACTTTTCCGTTTTCTAGGCCAAAAAAATAAAAACAATATTATATCATACTAGGATTTGGATATCCCACTTACAATGTTTGGGCCCCTGATGCCATTCATAAGTTTTTTCTTATATCAATGAGACTCAACAGTTTATATATAACTGAAGTCCTATTTGCTCAATCAAATTCGTGCCCTACTTGTTCCACATAATTTTTTCAAAGAAATTAATTCTATCTTCTAGCTTGCACCGCCGCTGCTTGCATGCATATTAATTATTCCATAAAGTATTTGTTGTCTATCGGAAACAGTTCTCTACTCCTCCGGAATAGGGATAAGGTTTGCGTACACACTATCCTCGTCAGACCCCACTTGTGGGATTCCACTGGGTTGTTGCTGTTGTTGTAGAGTATTTGTTGTTGTCTTTTCCATTAGTATTAGTATCATCCAAGAGCTAACAACATGAAGAATCTATGAAATGCTGGATTGAATAAATCTTGATTGTATTGCCTTGCCCACTTGAATTATTAATAAAATAAAAATAAATCTTTGATTGTGTATATGGGGTTAAAATGGTCATTTCTACTTGGATAAATGGAATAAGCTAATTTCAGGTAGCTGATGTAAAGCTTATGTAATCTTCTTTGGTTGTATGTTACATAAAGACAGCTGTTTTCACAAGCTCAGGAATTGTTTTAAATAAAGAGGGCTAGTTTGGGAATAATATATGTGAGATAGATACACATATAAAACAGCCTTAATCTTTTAACAACTTATTATACTATTAAGTTATATGTTGGATGGTTCTGTTATACAGTTGAAACAACCTTGAAAGCAACAGTTGAAACCTTCAACTGTTTCTCACAACAGAAATTCCAAATTTCAATAAATTAGAGAAATCTGACTTTAGTTAAAAGCCTTATATTAATGACAAAAGAAATTGACAAATTTCATGTGCATGATTTTAGGGATGAAGTGTATTTGGTCAAATATAAAAGGAGAATGGATTTATAGCAGGAGCCAAGAAATGTTCAAGAGTAGGCCATAAACCAACCTCTCCAGTTCCTTAGAGACCACGTTTCTATCTCTCTTAAAAATAAGCTTCTGTTCTTAATACTGCTTTTTTTCAATCTTTAATTAGAATTCTCAAAGTAGGAACTGTTTGGCACAAACCCATTCAGATTTTAAAGGCAGTTAGTTTTACAAATCATTGGTATTATATATAGGGAAGAGTAGAGTTTTAGGTATTAATGGAGAATTTTCTTGGACCTGTTGTTAAAGAGGAGGATCAGCAGCTACAGTTGCCACCAGGATTCAGATTCCATCCTACAGACGAAGAGCTGATAACTCATTATTTGTCTAAGAAAGTTGTGGATAACAACTTTTTTGCTATTGCTATTGGAGAAGTTGACATGAACAAGGTTGAACCTTGGGACCTACCATGTAAGCTTCTCTTTTTTCTTTTTTACTAATCGGACCGACAAAGGGCTGAATTTGAGTGGATCGTGATTTTCTGTTGTTCCTGCTGTATTTTTCTATTTTTATCTCTGGTGATTGTTTTTTTGTTGTTAAACATAGGGAAGGCAAAAATGGGAGAAAAGGAATGGTATTTTTTTTGTGTGAGAGACAAGAAGTACCCAACAGGGATGAGGACAAACAGGGCTACTGCTGCAGGTTACTGGAAAGCTACTGGAAAAGACAAGGAGATATTCAGAGGAAAATCTTTGGTTGGCATGAAAAAAACTCTGGTTTTTTATAGAGGGAGAGCACCCAAAGGAGAGAAAACAAATTGGGTCATTCATGAATATAGACTAGAGGGAAGATTGTCTCTTCAAAACCTACCCAGGACAACAAAGGTACTGAATTTTCACTCTTTCCCCTGTTTTTCCCCTGTTTCATTCAAGAATCCTAAGACATGTTTCTATTGTTTCTTTAAACTATGCAGCAGAATGACTGGGTCATTAGCAGAGTATTTTATAAGAGCACTGGTGGAAACAAAGTCCATATTTCAGGACTTATGAGATTGAATTCAACTGAAACTGAAATGGGAAATTCTGTTTTGCCAACAATGTCAGATTCTGAATCCAGTCACGTGCACTGCTTCTCCAATTTCGTTACTGCTCAAAATAGCCAAAAAGATATGACCAATTATTTCAACAATTCTTCTATCCCTTCTCTTCCAAATAAATTTGCCTTGAACCTAACTTTACCAACTCAAGGTACCCTACTAAATCCTGGTTCATTTCCCATGCAAGATCCTCCAAGCCTTAGGAATTTATACCAGAATTATGGTCAGAATATGGTGCAGAATTTGAAGAAGGAGAAAGAGATAGTAAGTGTATCACAAGAAACAGGTGTGAGCACTGACATGAATAATGAATTCTCCTCATCAGCTGCTCTTGTTGGACCACAGTATCTTGACTATCTTTGGAATTACTGAAAAACTTGATAGAGAAAGACCAAATAAAGCAAAAAACAGAAAAGCAGCAGAGGAAATAGAACTAAGTAGGTATACATTGTGGAACTATCTGTGTGTGCATAGATTTTTCTAATTCTCCAAGGAGCATTTAAGATGTTAATAATTATCTCCCCTGCATATCACATAATACTATGTTGATTTAAAGTTTTTTCCTTCTCTTCACTTTTACCTGTGTATACAATCAAAATCGAACTCGTCTACGACATGGTAGGACAGACTCGAAACATGGCAATAAAGGACTGAAGAGCGACATCAAGTCCCACCGGGCTAGAACCCGGGGGCGGAACGCCTGCCTTCGAAGAATATTGAGGCCGTGATCCCGGAATCGATCCTAGCCTCGAACGAGCTCGAAGAAACATTGTTAGCATAGCTAACAGAAGACCGAAATATCCGTGAGCGGTTGGATATTACGGCGGGAATCTCGGCACGTAACAATAAGGAACTGACCATTAGTAAATCAAGAGATTTTTTTACCTTTTATAGAATTGTACCTAGAGTAGGACTCCTCTACTATATAAAGGGGGTCTGGTAATTCATAAAACACATGGTAACACGCATTCCAAGGCAATACATTATTATTTCTCTCTTTAAGCTCTTATTCTTCTGTATCTTGATACCGATCGAAGTGCATCCAGCTCGAGTGTGACTGACCTTCCAAGACTGTAACTGTTCAATTTGTGTAGGTTGAATTTATTTTATCATGAGGTGAGGCGTAAGCCCCGAGGAGTTGGGCGTAAGTTCCATGAAACTTTTAATTATTAATATAATTGAAAAAATATTTTTTTAAAGGTAAAATTCCAAAAAAAAAATAAAAAAATTTAAAATGATATATAAAATAAGTGAACGATATAAACTATTTTCTTTTTAATAGAAATGTTTTACTGGATTAACAAGAAACAACCGATATCATGTCTACTACAAGCAACATAGAGTTTCTCGTACTCACAATACTTCCGAAAATATTGAAATATAACAACAAATGAGAAGAAAGAGTAAATGTTAGCACTTCTAGTTCGGGATCTTAATTATTTTTATTATATCACACCAGCAGTCATCAAAACAGAATACTTTCGATTCATTTTATTTATATCAAGAAAATAGACTTTTCACTCTATCTCATACAAATATAACACAAACGGTCTTCCGTTTCTTTGGCTCAGGAGGAAGCAACTTCTCAACATTAATCACATCTTGGCAAGCAACACCCTCCCCCTCCCCAGACCCCATTTACAGGGGATTTGTTGTTGTTGTTGTTGTTGGCAAGCAACAAAAATTGCATTAGTATTGACTTTTATAATTTAAAAAGCATAGTTCACCATGGGTAGAAGAAGATGGAAAGAATAAAAAAGTTAGGGCTAGTATGAGTAAAGCTTTTAATAGTTTTATTTTTAAGTTTTTCTTTTACTTTTGAGTATTTAGCAAATAGATATTTGAGTATTTAGGCTTAAATTAAGACTTATTTGAAAAAAATCTTATTTTACCTTGAAATAGTCTTCTAGGTTTACTCCCCCACGACAAAAAATGCGCCTCACGCCTAGGCGAACGCCCAAGATCGTGGGACACTTTTCGATACTTTCACCCCAGGGTTGCCCCGGCCATTTTTGCTATGCCCACCTCCGCTCGACCCAATTTTTGCTTTCTAAAACACTGATTACATACCAATTCAAGAATTATTTTAACTAGAGCTGTCAATATGGGCGGGCCCGCCCAACCCACTTGGGCTTTAGCAATTGACGGGCTGGGCCGGGTGTTTAACCGGAAAATAAGAATTTCGGTCAAAGCGTAATTTTTAGAAGAACTTGGGTTACTGATAATCGAATAAAGAGATGATTGAATAACAAGAAAAAAAAAATTAAGATTGATAGAATAACAGAGTAAACAGATTTTCTGCAATGTAAATAAGTATATTTCAGCAATAATCAGTGTATCCCCTAAAATGTTATTTCTCTCCTTTTATAACTCTTTCTAAGTACTACGTTTCTTTCCCCTCATAATAGAGCCATTATGAGTAATTAATGACATTAATGTAACGTTATAATTAACGATCGTAACTGTTTCGTGAAGATTCTATAACGCCTCCTCTCATTGATGCTCATTAATTACAGATAATATGTATCTGTACTTTTTGCTAACCAGGTTCATTCTTCCGATGTCTCTTCAAATTATCAAGAGATACAAGTAATCATCCCTTCTTATCTTCTGGTATTCTTGCCCGTACCTGTTTAGGCTCACAGCTCTTCGGATACTCTCTGCCAGTTGTCACGTTTTTATTAGTCCACGTGTCTTGACATGTCAGCACATAATTAAAATCAAACGTTAACTTGATTTTCCCCAATACACTAGGTTAGCCCACCATTTTGATGGGCCTTATAATGGTTAGCCCACCCCAGCCCTTTGTGGGCTGCGGGCCCCCACGGGCCGGCCCATCATTTTTTAAAATATAATTTATATTTTTTCTTTAATTTCTAACCTAAAAAGATAAATATTTAAAAGTACATTACATGAACTTCGTTCCAATTAGGCACTTCTTGTTGAGTTGGCACATAGAGTGAGTTTCACCCAATATAGGCACGTGAAGAGCCCATAAAACAGATTTTTTGTCTTTTTATTTCCTTCTTCTTCTCTTCTTTATGTCCACTACCATTTCCACCATNTCTAATTATGGTTTTAACCAAAGATCTTCCTCCAGCGTGATTCCCACAGTGTCCCTCGTGTATTTCTTTCATCACATATTCTGTTTGAGAAGGTCCGAGATATCTTGCTAGCGAGCCACTGAACATCTTTCGATATAAGTTGCCTTGATTTAAACAGTAAGGGGCTGCCTTTTGGCGAAGTGCCTGGGCCTTTTTCTTATCCTCAGGAAGTATTCGATACTGCAAAAAATTGACAATTTCATTTCTCCAATCCCAAGTTAAATTATTGTAATTTACCTCATTTTTATCCTGACCAAGCATTGAATGAAACAAATGTATCACAGAAGCATTTTCTTCATTTGTTACTTCTGCGGCGGATGCGAGATTAGCTAAAGCGTTAGCCTCGGCATTTTCTTCTCTTGGTATCTGCATGATTTTCCAAGTTTGGAATTGCCTAACTAAATCCCGTGCCTTTTCCAAGTACTGTTGCATCCTTGCCTCTCTGGCTATATAAATCCCCAGCATTTGGTTAACTACGAGCTGTGAATCGCTTTTGATTATGACTTGCTCTATTCCGAGCTCTCGTGCCAATTCTAAACCTGCAATCACAGCTTCATATTCTGCCTCATTATTAGTAATAGGATGACATTTTATGGCTTGTCGTATAGTTTCTCCCGTAGGTGGTACCAAAACAATGCCTAAACCTGCTCCTTTTACATTTGATGAACCATCAATAAATAAGGTCCAAGTACCTGGATTAGACCCGTTAAATACCTGCAGTTCTTTTTCTGCCTCCAGTTGTATCCCTTGACTAAAATCTGCCACAAAATCTGCTAAAACTTGTGACTTTATTGCAGTTCTTGGTTGATATGTAACGTCATATTCGCTTAGCTCTATAGCCCATTTAGCTATTCTACCTGATAACTCTTGTTTATGCAGTATATTACGTAAGCGGTAGGCTGTTACTACAGAGATAGGATGACATTAAAAATAAGGCCTTAAGTTCCTAGATGCCATAATTAACGCAAGTGCAAGTTTTTCTAGATGAGGATATCGAGTCTCAGCATCTAATAATGACTTACTGAGATAATAAATCGGAGATTGTTTACCTTGGTCCTCTCGAACTAACACAACACTTACCGCTACTTCTGAAACAGCAAAGTAGATGAGTAGTTTTTCCCTATCTTTTGGTTTTGCGAGCAATGGTGGACTTGACAAGTATACTTTCAAATTTTTAAGCGCTTGTTGACATTCTTCAGTCCATTCAAATTGATCTTGCTTTTTTAGGGCTGAAAAGAACCTGAAGCATTTTTCTGATGACTTGGAAATAAATCTTTCCAAAGTAGTTATTCTTTCTGTCAATCTCTGTACTTCTTTTTTACTCATCAATATATCCGGAATTTCCTCAATAGCTTTAATCTGTGCGGGATTTACTTCAATGCCACGGTTAGAAACAAGAAATCCCAAGAATTTACCTGATGAAACTCCAAACACGCATTTCTCAGGATTTAATTTCATGTTAAATTTACAAAGAATCTGAAATGTATCAGACAAGTGTTAATATGATCCCCTGCTTGTTGTGACTTGACAAGCGTATCATCTATATAAACCTCCATGGTTTTCCCTATATATTCTTGAAATATTTTGGTCACCAGCTTTTGATATGTGGCCCCAACATTCTTGAGACCGAATGGCATTACTTTGTAACAGTAAGTCCCCCTGTCTGTTATAAATGAAGTTTTTTCTTCATCTATAGGATCCATTTTTATCTGATTATACCCTGAACAGGCATCTAAATAGCTTAATAATTCATGTCCTGTAGTAGCATCAATTAGTTGATCTATATGCGGTAATGGAAAAGAATCTTTAGGACAAGCTTTATTTAGGTCAGTATAGTCTATACAAACTCGCCACTTACCATTCTTTTTAGGTACTACTACAGTATTCGCTAACCAATTCGGATACTTTATCTCGCAGATGGACCCAATTTTTAAAAATTTTTGCACCTCATCTTGAATCACCTGATTTTTGAAAGATCCTTGCTTTCTTTTCTTTTGTTTGACAGGTGAGTATGATAGATCTTCGTTTAATTTGGGGGTCATCACTTGCGGAGGTATAACTGTCATATCGGAATGGGACCAGGAAAAACAATCTACGTTAGTTTTTAAAAATTCGGTCAACTTACCTTTCATTTCTTGGCTTAGGTTGGTCCCAATGTAGATTTTCCTGTCAGGCCAGGGTGCAAATAGTACTACAACTTCCAATTCCTCAATCGTTGTTTTGATGTTTTCATAATCTTCTGGTTCTTGGATGGTATCAGGCCTCGAGTCTACATCTGTTCACCCATGCTTAGTTGAGGCTTGCGTTGAAGCATTCTCAACTGGGTTCTGTGATTGCTATTTTTCTTCTTTGCGCTTGAATCTGCTACGGAATCAATGCTCCGAGACGCTTGTTGGTCACCACGGATTTGCCGTATCCCCCATTGTGAAGGAAATTTGATAACTTGATACAAAG